TGTCTTATTTCAAGATATGGTTGACTGTCTTGATTTAAAATTGAAATGTAAGCAAAGGGCATCCAGGGGAATAAATAGAGATCCTTCTCTTTTCTTGAAGAATTTTGTTTCACTAATATGTTTTAAAATATCTTTAATTTAATCTTTTTTAACTCCTCAGCCTTCTCCTCTGTGCAATGCTTCATTAATGTGCAATAACATTTTACATGGTAGTAACAAAAGGTAAGTGTTACAATTCTCATATAACAATTTGGGATTTATGGCAGCAGACTATTGTATGCCCAAGGACAGGCTGCAAATAAGACTATCCTATGTCCGCTTGTTTTATTGCTCTGTGGTCAACGTGTGCCTGAAAGCTGTATGTTTGCATGTCAAATAGAAAAATGAGCAGAAGAGATTCACCTTTTTGCTTCTAGGCGCAGTTACACAGCATCAGAGCATATGCTTGAATTATCTCCTGTTGCTGTCTGTTTCAAGAAGTGCAGTAAGAAGATAATAGCATCTGCAGAAGTCAAGATTTGGAGGCTGCCAGTTGTTGGTCCTAATTGCATACTTAAAATGAGAATAGCAACATTTATTCATGGTTCCCTAACCTTGTGGCAGATCTGTTAGGAATATAATTCACAGAATTCCTTTCTTATGTTAGCTTGGCTTGGCTGGAATCCTTGTGTCAATGCAATAGCATAAATGTTACATCGATATTTAAGATCAAGACATTTACCCAGGTTTATTAGCATTTTAAGATATTGGAATTATTTGCTTACATTTGGAGGGAAACATATATGTTTTCATAGATTTCGTAGATAAACGAGTCCCAGCCACAAAAACCGACACAGGACCCAGAACAACACAGGACATCATCCCCAATCACCCTCTCCAAACATCAATTCCATCAACCAATNTATTCGGTATAAAACAAAATTAATACAATTAGAATCAATTTGCAAACCAACTATTGATAGTAAAGAGATTGGTGAAAGAGATGTGCATATAGCATATTTCTAATAATGGGGGAATGAAAATCAAACATACCTTCTTGTGGATTGTATAACCCTAGTCTGGAGGCCACGATACGTGTAGAATACCTATTGTAGGGCTATATGCAATGGTATGTGGGAAAGGCCTTTGGAGGTGGGATGAACAGATGCTACAGAGTCAGATAACAGAGAGCATAGCCTACAGCTGGATAGTGGAAGGGACAAGAGGCCCAGAAAGAATTGTCTCTAATTGGACTGTAAAGGCAATGGTGGGAGAATTGTACTTTCAGACTTGCAAGAATGATGTCAGTTTTACCAGGTAGACCAGACAGGAAAAACAACCAGATAAGTTAATTCTACTTCTACTTATTGTAAAGGTACATTAACAGAATCTTCCAAGTCTGAAAGTATCATTTTCCCACTGTCCCCTTTAAAGCATGAGAAACTAACTGAAATGTGCAGAGAAAGATAATACTGTGGATTTGGTGATATAGGCATCCTTAGAAGGCAGATAAGAGCAAGTGACATCTTGTGCATCACAACAGCATTGGTCAAAGGGCATGAAAGGAACCCTCCTTGAAAGAGATGGGCAGTCTAAATATGTGAAAAATCAATCCATGCACACACACACACACACACACACACACAAATGAATGTGCACAATTATGTTATAGTGCTTATGATATATGTCAGCATTAAATTATACTTAAGGAAAAAGGCTTGGGTTTTTTTAAAAATTGCAAACCCTGTATTGATGCTACTTTGCTTCCGTGTCTAAGATATAAAATGCTTCTGTTCTGTGAAGGTCCCAAATTACACTTTACAATTTATATATCAAAGAAATGGGAGGCTAAGATGTTCATTTAGACCCATTCTCTGTCGGTTCTCTCTGCATTTTATGTCAGACAGATTAGGCATCAGGTATATATGAAGAGTACAATGGAGCTTTTCAGTAATGATTATAGACAAAGCTAAAGATAGGATCAACTCCCCTTACTCTTCTTTTTTATTGCTTAAAATAGGGGCCTGTTTTTCCAGTATTTTTCACAGCGGTTTCAGGTTTCAGAAATCTTTAACAATGTTATTTGTCTGATCAAATTTAATGAGTATCCCCAGGCCTAGCCATTTTAAATTGAGTTAAACCTAGTAACCCTGAAGCCTGATCATTACAGTCCAGAAGAAAAGGGGACACCGTGTATCAGAAGAAATATTACTTTTGGATTTTTTTTAGATTGAAAAAAAACCCCTTATTTTTGAGAAATCTCTCTTGCTTTTCTCCTGCCCTTGTAACCTGAAAGTGTGATAGAAACCTACAGAAAGTACTGAAGCTATAACGAAGCTTTAAAAAATGGGAGAAAATGGTACCAATCAGTTTTGCTAAACCTTGACATCCCGGAGATATTGCCTGGATTTCTAAACTTGGCAAGGCAATCAGAATTGAATTTAACTAATAATTGACTGGAAATTAATTATCCGCTGGCTTTTGTGTTTCCTTATTCTGTTATTTTTTTCCAGGGGTGTTCCTGATTCAGCCCATACCTTACATAAAATCAAAACACATTTTGGCATTTGCATTGTAAGAGGAGAATATATTTGAGAATGCATACTTTTTAACGATCTAGTACTGAAAAGTACTAGTGTGACTTTTTTGTGCCAAAGGAAGTGGGTGAAATTATAGGGAAAAGAATACAGGTGGACTATGAAAATAGATTTTTAGCTCCCAAAAGAAACACAGGATCTTTTGGTTATCTTCTTATTGTCTTTGAGCATCACTGAAGCCATATGACATTTGAAATGGGTGGATATTTATTGAAGTCCTAGTTGAGATGTTAATACTCCAAAGAAGAATCTGAAGCAATTAGGACAGAACACCAAAGGACATTAAAAAAAGAAACTAAAAGTGAATGTTAGCCACAATTTGCTGGAGGTTAAATGTAAAGATCTTCTCCATGTGTAAATGGTTTACTGACCCATACTAATAAAGCAGTGCTTCAGAAGAAGGGTAATTATCTAAAGTTCTCAAACACCCAGAGGTAAATTGCTCCCTATTTTTTTTTTCTTTTGAAAAAAAATGAACTTGGATTGAACCAATGTGCCTTTACTTAGTTTTTTTGCCTTGACGCTCCCATTTTTTTAATGAGGGAAATTAATTAGCTTTCTTATTTCTTTATTCCTGGTGTACGAATAAGGCTCACTGCAACTTCCCTATTTTCCCTTTGGGCTCCTGACTCAGCCGGCGGCATCATTTATGAAGGCATTTTCTGCAGCCTCCTGAAAAGACTAGCGAATAAATGATTGGAACTTATTAAGCCCTGCAGTTCCTTCTACTGCAGGCAGACAAATAAGCAACAGAATCAAGAAGGGAATCCCAGCAGAAAATGGATATGCTGTTTTCTAATCTCGCTTTGATTGAACATATTTCCATCAATCAGCTCCTTTATGAAGCAGCTGTGCCCTTCTTATTCTGGAGTAAATCCTATTGTGTAGATTGGTTTTTACTAAATTGGGGTGGGGAACCACAGCTCTTTTATGACTGGTGGACTTCAACTCCCAGAATTCCTGAGCCAGCCATGTGCAATAACAATATGTGCAAAACTGCAATCTGATATGGGGTTGGTTTTACTCCATTTTACCACATGTAGCAATGAGAAAATAGGGATTGGGTTAAAATGTAAAGCTGGAAAGAGGTCTCAGTGCACTAAATCTGGTTTACCTTGGAGGTGATGTGAAAATCATGTGTGTGTGTGTGTGTGTGTGTGTGTGTGTGTGTGTGTGTAGGCTCACTTGGATAACTTCCAAGAATCTGACTAAAAATAATGCTCCCAAGTAAATCTATATTTCATAGTACAAGTAAATGCTTAAGACAGCAATTGTGTTTGGAAAAATTCTGCTTGAAGTATTGAAGTATTGTAGCAAGTATTCTGTGTTCCAGGAATTTTACTTATTAAGTTCCAAGAAATTTCTAAGGGAAGGTGTCCCAGGGATCCTAAGAGTTTACAGAGTTGCTTGTAGTCTGAGTACTCTGTTTATTGATTATGCCAATCAAATTACTGATTACAATCCAAAAGAAAGCTAAATGTGCTTAGATCAACATAAATCTTGGTTCTGGCTGTGGAAGTGATGCAGTATGCAAGGAGTTGCCCCAGCTTTTAATAATGCAATTATTTTACTCTCAATGCCAACTTATTCAGCTTAGACTAGTAAATTCTGTTTAAGGTCAGCTTTATTTATATTATATTTTTTTCAGGAATGTCTTCATGGCAGTGAAAGTGAGTTCAACTGTACTTTAGTATATGCATATTCATGTGTGATTGTCCTTTTTTTTCTTCAGGGCTCAAACAAATACTGTATTTAAGAAAAAACTGTGCAAATGATCTAAAAAGCTGGTTGTTTTTCTGACTCATTTACACTGTGATCCTATATATAGTTAACTATATTAAAATATATATCATGGTACTCAGATATACCTCTGAGGAGATGTGAATAGAATTACACTGGCAACCCCCTTTATGGAATTTGAAAACTATGTAATGGAGTTTTATCCAAAACCTTAGACAACTAATATATATATCTTCTTTCCCTAACTTATGGATGTTCTTTTCTTTCTAACTTGCAAATAAGTCTTCTGATCCTGAGGTTATTCATAAAGGAGGAGAAAGTTTATTCAGTTAGAAAGTATTTTAAAATGCATAATCTTTATTTCCTTCCTTCCTTCCTTCCTTCCTTCCTTCCTTCCTTCCTCCCTCCCTCCCTCCCTCCCTCCCTCCCTTCTTTCCTCTTTCTCCCTTTGTCCTTCCCTTCTTCCCTTATTTCTTCTATATTTTTCCTTCCTTCCTTCCTTCCCTCTCTCCTTCCTTCCTTCCTTCCTTCCTCCCTCCCTCCCTCCCTCCCTCCCTGTTTTCATATTTCAAACTTTATTGAAAAACAGGTTCTCTTCTACATATTTTTGTGGAAATGAATATCTAGTACCTTCCTAATGGATTGCTGCAGTTCAAAGTTGTTCCTTAACTTTATATAAATCAGATGTTCTCATTTGCCCTCTCCGCCCTGTGGAACGTTTCCGTGACTTGCATCCTGAGGAAGTGGCTGATTTATTTCGCACAACACAAGCAGTTGGCAATGTAGTGGAGCAACATTTTGGAGGAACTTCGCTCACCATTTCAGTTCAGGTTAGTACTAGGACTATGACTTGATTACAGCAAAAATTGGTGTAAGCTCTCCCAAAATATAATTTTTTAAGGTTTGTAATACCAAAAATAGTTCTTAAGGTGCACTTGCAATTTCCTGTGTGAAGAGGGGTTCACTATAGTGATGCAGGAGGGGTTGCACAGGTAAACCCACCAGTGGCTGGCCAGGTTAGGTAGTCTTAATAGAATGGACCTTATAAATTCATATTAGTTTGGCTTTTCATTCTAGTGCTCTGGAGTCCCAAAGTTGACTTTTAGCTGGAGTGAACTTTCTCCCCAAACTTCCTCATAAGTATTAAAAATAGGGCTGGACAGTGTGGCAAGACCCTGTAAAGGAGGGGCACAGGAAGCCAGACGTGGGTGAGAAATAGAACAGAGGTAAAAACTGCTGACAGCTTAAAACATTATAGGAACTGCTCTTTCTTGTATTTTTCCTATGTATTTCGCTGTAACATTCCAAATGAACTTCTGCCTTGAGAATGCACAGTATGGAACACAGCATAAAAGTAGCAACCTGGGCAGAGCTCAGGCAGTTCAGATTTTGGTGTGTGAGCACGCTAAACTCGATGCATCCAATAAACCTGTTTCTCTCACTTTCGTGGTCTCAAGTCCTGGTCTTTCGTAAGTAGATTACAAACCTCAATCTGCTGCAACAATAGCAACATCAACTGAAAGTAAATATTATAGCTAGCTTAGATTTTTTTCTTTTTCTAAAAAAACCTCATTAGCAATTAATTTAATGTCCTCTGGGACAATTCTCTAAATGCCGTAGGAGAGAGAAGAATGCATGCAGTGAGTAGATTTTGCACATTTGCAGAAATAGCTTTCAAGAGTTAGAAACCATACCACAACACCATACTGCAACATTCATACAGCATTCCAGTAGGATTAACTAGGGTCACCAAGACTGAGCAATCTGAAATCCTCAAAATCCATTAAAGGCAGTTTTGACTATGCTATTCCGTGTTGGAAAACTACCGTAAAATAAGCAAAGAGCTTTAAAAAACTATAGTTGCTACAATTCACTACAAAGATGTCTTAATTTGTGAGACAGAATCAAAGAACTAGAAGGATGGTGGTTGTGACTTTCCCTTTTGTTACTTTATTGGCATCAACAACAATATTTTATTGCTACTTCTACTTACATGATTAAGTGGTTAAGACACTGAGCTTGTCGATCAGAAAGGTCGGCAGTTCAGTGGTTCGAATCCCTAGGGTGAGCTCCCGGCTCACCAGCTTTTGCCAACCTAGCAGTTCAAAAGCATGTAAAAATGCAAGTAGAAAATTAGGAACCACCTTTGGTGGGAAGGTAACAGCATTCTGTGTGCCTTCAACATTTAGTCATGCCGGCCACATGACCATAGAGATATCTTTGGGCAGTGCTGGTTCTTCAGCTTTGAAACGAAGATGAGCACCATCCCCTAGAGTTGGGAACGACTAGCACATATGTGCAAAGGGAACCTTTACCTTACTCACATGACACCACTCAGGATGAAATGAGTGAGAAAAGGATAGCTGTCATCTTCTCCTTGGATTGGCCATCATTATGGAAGAAGGCAAGCAGCCTTAAGCAGCCTGGAGAAAAAGTTTGACTGTTACCTCTCAGATGTCAAGTCCTGAAATCTTTAAGTTACAGTGCCTTTGACCTGGTTAATGTCCTCAATACTGAGATATTTTTTGTCTCTCATCCCACTTATTTATACATCCTATGTATAAATGTTGTCACAGAACATTGCAAGAGTGAATTTGAAAATGAAAATATGCCTTTGGGGTCTCTGGTAGCAAGCAGTTCAGATCAACAATGCCATCTTCCTGAAGTTAGTTTAGCTGGAGTTTCAGAGGCCCTATTCCTATTAAAGAGCAAGTTAATGTTACATTGCCTTTGGTGTACAATTTGCATGGTCTCTTCTCCAGAGTGACTGAACTGGTTGCTCGTCATAATTTTCAGATGGCTCCAGAGGTGGGTTGCTCCCAGTTTGGCCCAGATAGGCCGAACTGGTAATGGCAGCGGGGGGAGGTTCCGCCCACCCTCCCAGATGCTTCTGTTCATGTGCAGACGCATCATGTGCATGAACAAGAATGAACTGGTAGCACCGGGATTTGGCTCCCTTTAGTCTTCCTTAAATAAACAGAGGCTGATAACCAGAAGTATGCCTTGAAGAATCATTCTTTGTAGAATTCAGGAAACATGAAATCTGTGATGAATTCCATGCACAAAGAATAATGGAAAATCAGCATTGTACATACAGAAACTGAGGGTCTCACCTCACAATGCTTTAGTTACATGCAAATGGGACCTTGTACATAAACAAGGTGCTGGTGGTTACCTATAAAACCCTATAATAGCTTGGAACCAGGGTTCTTGAAGGATCACCTTTTTCCCCCCAAAACTCTGTCCAACTAGTTCAAACAGAATGGGTATGTTGCACATCCTGTTGGTTGGCAGGAACCAGAAGGCAAGCTTGCTCTACCATGGCCCCTGCTCTATGGACCATCCTCCTTTCAGAATGGCCCCAACCCTGTTAGTCTCTCAGGTCCACCATTGTATTCTGGTGTGCTGTCATTGTACTGGGGGGAGAGGGGCTTGGCATGCTTGGGATTTTTCTGCTTTTGCTGTACACTTGGGAATTAGGGTGGGGGGACTATCTGTGAAGATGGGACGGACTCCTTCCCAGCTGTTTTTTGCCTGGTTCCAAGGTCTTCATGCCCTGAGTGCAATCTGTTATCTACCCAGCATCTCAGCATTCTCAAAACGTCTTCTCGGCATCACATTGGTGGACTGGTCATGGGGGTTGTGATTGGGAAATGAAAAGAATTGCTTTTGCTTTGCACTGGACCTTTAGAGTCTGCTTGACTTTATTGCAACCAGGTTTCTCAATAAAAGTTTGTTTCATTCAATTCAATGGATTCAAGACTCTTGCTTTCCTGAGGGGGCCGAAAGGGCCAGGCCTGACAGCCTTTTAGACATACAGATTTCATGTATAGAGCCGAGATGGCGCGGTGGTTAAATGCAGCACTGCAGGCTACTTCAGCTGACTGCAGTTCTGCAGTTCGGCTGTTGAAATCTCACCGGCTCAGGGTTGACTCAGGCTTCCATCCTTCCGAGGTGGGTAAAATGAGGACCCGGTTTGTTGGGGGCAATATGCTGACTCTGTAAACCGCTTAGAGAGGGCTGAAAGTCCTATGAAGCGGTGTATAAGTCTAACTGCTATTGCTATGTACCTGGGTTTCTTGAATGCCATGAAGGATGTTTCTACAAAACATACTTCTAGTCACCAATCTCCATTCATTTATGGAAGACTGGGGTGTTTAATGTGCCAAAGGCCCTACATCCTGACTCTGTTGCTAAATATCTTGCTCTAGTATATATCGAATTGAATGTTTTAAATCTTTTCTTTACTGGCTTTATGTTTTTATTGTTTCAAAATGCTTTTAATTAAGTATATATGTTTAAATACAATTAAATTTTAAATTGTAATATATTTTCTGAACTGTAGGCCACCCAGAGTCATTGATTGAGACGGGTGACCATATAAATTGAAGCAATAAACATCCATAAGATGGAATATATGTCTCTTTAATGTAACTTGGCTTCCTTGTTCTTCAGTCATGTACCCCATATGTACGTATGGTAGATATAAAGCATATCCTGACTATACAGGGCAATGAAGTTCCATATATTAATTTTAATTTTGGATTTAAGGATAAAAAAGTTTTTTGGGCTGCCCAAAGAATATGGGTCTTCTACACAAAGCTCATGTATCCTCCCACCAAGTGGATAAGTCTCTTTAGCTTCTGGGACACAGCTGTGAATGAATGGGCTGCACTGGCTACCTCAGATCTTTTGTTAAAATCATATTAAACCAAAAAGGGCATCCTACTGTATTGTGCCTGCCAACAACATGTCTTTTCTAAACAGTCCCCATAAATCTTGATGAGCACCAACATTATTAAGAGCATCTGTGCTCTGAGATGCTGAGGGCCAAGAGGAGCAAATGTGCCAGAACTTTTTCTCCTCAGTGCCATCATTTCCCATTGGATTTGGCCCTGAAATAGAAAGGTGTCTGCTCCCAGGTACTTCAGCGCCAGATCATCCCCACAAGAATGCTATAAATTAATGCACAATGAAATTAGATTTAAATTATTAATGGGCAATTTTTTGAATGCCCAGGAGAATCTTGTTGGCTGTTACTATCTAATTCTCTTCCCCACTTTCCTTCCCTCTCTTTTCCTCTCTTCCGCTTCTCCCCACAGGATGGTCCTGAAGCTGGACAGACTGTGAAGGTGAGTGCTTATTTTATTATGCCGAGTACCAATTAATAAGAAGCAATTATACGAACGAATAAAACCAGTCAGCTGCAGCACATTGCTGTGTTGCTGTTTTATCCTTGAAGTCAAAGGATCCCTCAGTCGTTAATATCAGTAAATATATTGATTGAAATGGGATGGTACAATATGTTTACATTTCACCTCTTTTCCTAATTGTTGTCATTTAATGCTACCTCTTGGCCACTACTGTAGTCTGTGGAATCCTCCTGTCTTGTATAGTTGTCTTCTAAAGGTGTGAAAGGGGTGTTGTTTCCAGCATTTCTGGTAAGATTTTAAGAGCACACAAAAAGTCCTTCCATATTAAACCATGAAAGGTCAGACTTAACTGTTTCTTGTTGTTGTTGTTGTTGTTGTTGTTGTTGTTGTTGTTGTTGTTGTTGTTTAATTAAAACTGTAGGAGACACCAAATACAGAAAAACCATACACTTAGCATGAAAGCAATTTGAGCCCAATGATTTATTTTTACTAAGCGCTGAACAAAAACCATTGTACATTTTGCACACAAAAATGAAATTCAAAATTATTTTCTGCATTTTAATATTATAAAATTTTGTGGGGATGAGTTTTTCTCAGGGAGGAAGTGCATTTATTGCTGTTAAAGTTCAATAATTGGGATTCCATTTACTGAAAATTGCTTAGAGACTTCCATTTGATGCAGTTCTAACTTTTCTCTATCCCTGGATCTGTCCATGGTCCTGCACTCCATTGTGACAAGCTAGATGCTTTCAGAGAATAAAATCATCTCCCTTTTTAGCTATGGAGATTCTCAGTCATTCAGATCATGGTTGTCCCAAGGGTGCTTTTTCAAGAGGCAACTGGATTTCCTTTGTTTTTCCTTGAAGAGGTTTCACTTCTCATCCGAGAAGCTTCTTCAGTTCTGCCTGAATTGTCAGGAATGGAAGGATTTATGTTCCTTACAGTCATCTGACAGATGAGGCATCTGAAGAATTTGAGGACTTGCTTTAGATTTTGGGAGGTGTTCACCCATCTTGGTTTTCCATCCCTAATTCCACCTATGAGTTTCTGAGAGGTTAAATCTTCATGCCTTTGTAGGATGGCAAGGCACTTTGCTTAATCAGCCATTCTCCTTTCTAGAGATTACAATTAAATACTTTTGAGGTTTAAACATGCTGATAGCTCCTAGTGAAGTAACTGAAGAAATCTGGGATAAGACAGATTTAACTAAACTGCTAATAGGAGATCTAGGGGGAATTAGCCCCATCATCCAGTCAGACCTGAAGAAGCTTCTTGGATGAGAAGCAAAACATCTTCAAAGAAAATCCAGAAAGTCTGGTTGCCTTGGAAAAAACACCTTTGGGTCATTTCCCTTTTCTTAATTATCATCCAGAAGAGAATGCCTCTGAAAGTAGTACTTCTTGGTAGCCTAATAATTTTATCTTTCTTCACTTTGCAAAATTCTCTCTTAAAAATGACTTCTGCTTTGTTACATAGATGATGCTTTTGTGAGGTCAGTTTTAAGTTATGTCCTTGAGATCTAATAGATTGAGAAATATACTTTTATCTATCTCTAAGAGCCAAGGTGGCGCAGTGGTTAAATGCAGCACTGCAGGCTACTGCTAGATCAGCAGGTCAGCGGTTCAAATCTCACCGGCTCAGGGTTGACTCAGCCTTCCATCCTTCCGAGGTGGGTAAAATGAGGACCCAGATTGTTGGGGGCAATATGCTGACTCTCTGTAAACCGCTTAGAGAGGCCTGAAAGGCCTATGAAGCAGTATATAAGTCTACTGCTATTGCTATTGCTATTGTTCCTTCTTCCTCATAACAAACTATTTCTACAATTTCTGAGCAAGCTGGACTTTGATTTAATTCATAAGCACAGGCCCACTCAGATCAAACATCTTTGTCTTCTGATTGACTGGTTACCAAATGTTTTGCATCTGAATTTGAGTTACTTCTCTTAAAAGTGAGTGAGTGAGGAAAAAAACCCTGTGATAGTCCTTCTCTCTGGGTAAACCACCCATTTTTGATGACACTCCTTGACTTTTGCATTTATCTACATAACCCCCTATCAGCAACTAATCTGGTTAGTTGGCAGAATCAGGCAGTGGGGAAATTCATATTGAATATGACCCACTGGGATTTCTTATCTGAATTTGTTCCAAATGCTTCTGTTCTTAGCTCCTATCCCAGCCCCACTCCATTTCATCTGCTAAGATTCATCATTGATTTGATAGAATATAATCAGTCAACAGATGAATTATAACCTTTTCTAACTGCCTTCCTCAGCATAGAATCAGGAAATTGCACTTTTATTTTTGAGAGACAGCAGGAGGGAGTAATGGAGAAGCCCCCTCTTCTATATACCAGAGAAGGCTGAGAGTGGCTGCTTCCTCCACATGGAAGAAGGAACTGCTGCTACACCATTATCATCTTCTTTTAATGACCCCACAATCCCTCACAGGGTGGGGTCTGGGCAACTGAATGGAGCTAGCAAAGTATTTACTGGACAGATTCCCTTCCTGTCACCAATGTGGAGTTTTGTTCAGCAGATATAATCTCATTGTGCCGAGAGAGAGAAATATCTGCCTCTACCTAGGATTGAACTCCCAGTGTCCTCTGATTGTGAGATGAGAGGTCCACCTCTAGGCCACCGCACCACTCCTAACTGTTGCTACACCATTCTCAGATGTATTTCCCTGATGCAGTTTTCTATCCAAGTAGCCATTTCAATCAAGGTAGCCCCAGTCCTTAAGATCATTCAGCCCACTAAAGACCTGAGATAGGAAGGATGGAATCTTTGCTCCATCACTGGATTAGTTGTGGTCAGGAGAATTATGAGAGCTGGGCTTCTACACTGCTGCTGGCCTGTGCTATAGGTGCCTCTGCTCTGTTTCTTCATTCTTGTCCTGGCTGCTTTGCAATACAGTGTGCTTGTGTCAATCCTACCAGGTAGACCAGACTAATAAACCTATGCCATATAAATAAGAACTACTTTTATTGCAACAACTACAATAACAGAATCTTGCACAAGTAAATGAACATCTCCACTTTTTTCACTTTATCTTCACGTGAGTTAGAGAGGAGCTTGTCTGAGACATTTTGTCAAGTTACTTTTTTTTTGCCTTGGCTCAAGTCCCTCTTATCTGACTGTCGCCATGGTAGCTGCTCTTCCTTCTGTCCTTCAAGGCCATGCCCTCTACCCTCTACAGTCTGATGCCCTGGAGGCACCATGGCATTATCTTGACTATTGTATAATAGTGATGATGTAAGGATAGATGGTCTTGTTACTGAATGTTTAGTTGCTACGTCTATGTTTGGCACAATCACATACATTTCCAGGAATGCTGGAGTTATGTCTGCCTTTCTTCCACTTGGGTATTTTCGGTTTCTTGTTCTGATCGTTTTTCAGTTAAGGACATGTGGATAGGGTAGCCATTCCACTGACACAGCAATGATGTAGTTTTGATCCTGACATTATGTGAGTATAAGATTTCTCAGTTGAAATCCTTGTTAGCGTTGATTCACATAATCTTAACAGCTGACAATAGCAAATGGAAGCAATTCTCTTCTTTTCCATTTCGTACATTGACCTTATTTGTGATCTTTTTTTTTATTGCCTCAGAATAGCTCACTAAGGCTGGAGGAAGGAGAAAGAAATGGAAAACTAAAAAAGCACTTAGCACATCTCAAGTGAATTGCTGGGTCAAAGATTCAAAAATCTTACTGGCGGTGGGAGGAAAGCCCAGAAGAGATTTTTTAAAATTTCATGGCCCATTTCCAGCTTTTTAATTCATCTTCATTCTGCTTCTCCCTATCCAATGTCACTTCTTGGACACTTTTGGTCTCACGGTGCCTGCTGCCATGCTCCCATGATATCTGTTCTGGCAGAAAGGCAAGATATAAATCATCAACTTTCCACTGTGAATCCCTTTTCTAAAACAGGAGTCTCTATTTTTTTTTTAATAGACAGGCACATATGAATTGTTGAGATTACAGGTAGTCTTCAGTTTACTAGAGCAACTCGGACCATCATTGTCATTGCTAACAATGTAGTCTTAAAATGCATGTGACAGCACCACTTAATTGTCCCAGTTGCATCAGTAAGCAAGGACCTCCATCGGAAGATTTCCTGCTGGCTTCCCCACTGACATTACCTGTTGTTGGAACTAGAAGTAGTGACAGTCAGAACTCCAAGGACTGGTTAAAATTACCACTTGTTCAGCATTATCATCAGTTTCAACAGTTGCTGAATGAGTGTCTGTTAAATGAGAATCACCTATATGTTACGGTATGTTCAGTGACAGAACACTGATTTATCAGTGGTGAGGGTGCTTTTTCTTCTAATCATCCAGGATAGTTTTCTACCACCAATTTCCCTTTACCTCCTGCTAAATAGGTGCTTACACTTCCTAATTAATCTGTGTCTGCCAACAGCCATCTCTTTTAAAGATTTATGTATAACTAAAGAAATTACTGAATATTGCAACATGTTGGCTTTTCATTTTTTTTTTAGTAAGAAATCTTAACAAGAATAAATCAGGAGAACTCAGCTGAGAAATATAAACTGGAGTGGAGAAGATGGATTGATTATATTCAAAATAAATATGGGACTAAGAAACTCCAGATAGCCTATGATTGAAGAAGCAAGGAATGACATAATTTGTTTAGAGCTAGCTTAACAAAAGAGGAGTTAAAGTACAAGTGAAAGATGATGCTAATGTGTTTTTTTTAAGTTTACTTTAGAATATGATTGTTAAAGATTTATACCCTGTATTTGCTCTGGGAAGTTGGGGGGGGAGATGGGTTCAGGTGGGGAGGGGGGAGGGGAGGTAAATATTTGCAAAGGCTTTTTAAATTTTCAATTAAAAAAAAGAATAAATCAGGAGAGAGAGAAAGCTTGCTGGGTCTCTAGGAAAGGTATTAGTAGACATTTAGGCTAGACTGCCATGGTTAAGACCTTATTTATAGCACTTACTATAAGTAAACTTTTCCCA